ATTTCCTCTTAAAAGCCTGTTATTTTCTAACGAGAGACAGAAAGAGAGTGGATCTGGAGGGGATGGGAGGAACTGGGAGAAGTAGAGGGAGGGTAAACTATAATTATGATATATTGCATGAGAGAGAAGAATCCATTTTAAATAAAAGGAAAAAAAGAATAAAAATCAAATGAGGGGAAACGTGGACTATCTGTATTTCTGTGACTGACTTAATTTGTGCAATACTATATTCTATTGTCTACATTTTCCTGAAATGACATTTTATCATTCTTTATGGCAGAGAAATATTATACTGTGTCTATGTAGCACATTTTCTTTTCTCTGTTGATAATCACAGGCGAATCCTGTAATTTAGTTATTGTGAATAGTGCTGCAATAAACATTGATGTACAAGTATCTCTGATATATCTTTTTTGGAGTCTTTTAGGTAAATACCAGGAGTGGCATAGCTGGGTCCTAAGTAGGTATATTTTTAGTTTCCTGAGAAACCTCAATGCTGATTTTCACAGTGGCTGGATTCCCATCAGCAGTATCTAAATGTTCGCTCATGTCTACATCTGTGCCAGCATTTCTTTTTTCTTTTTTTTTCTTACATAGGAGATTTATTTTAGTTTTTCCGTTCTAAAACCGTTACTTAAAAGATTTAGAATAATTTTAAAGTAATTTTTGGAAGGGGTACTCAATATGTTTCCAAGATGGGTGTTTTATGCCACTCCTCTATTTAATTCAAGTTTTTCAGTCCATCTTCCCAACTGTGCCTTGTAATTGCTTCCCTCTTGTGGCTCAGAGTGACAATTGTATCTGTGCCAGCATTTCTCGTTACCTGTTTCCGAATGACTGCCCTTCTGACTAGAGTGAGATGACATCTCTAGGTAATTCTAATTTACATTTTAAAAACTATCTATTGTGTACAGTAGAGGAACAGTTCTGGTCAATGGGTAAAGGAAATACTCATTTATTTTAGCAACAGAATACTATTCAGCCATAGAAGAAAATCCTATCAGCTACAACATAGGTAGAACTGGAGGTCAGCACTTGAAGTGAAGCGAGGAAGACACGGAAACAAAACTAAAACTTGAAAAAAATAATCTCTGTAAGCCCCTGAGATAATATTGCAGAGAAGTGGAGTGGGATGTGGGATGGATACCAGTGAGGCCACGGAGAGGGCGGAACTCAAGCAAGTGCCGCGAGGGGCATCAGAGCACAGTGTGGGGGAAGCGTTTCTGGATCGTCGTCAACACAGCAGGGTAACTGTTGGTTAGAACAGCTAGTGCTGCATTTACAAACGACAAGGCCTTGAAACTCCCAACACAAAAGTGACAATGCCTGAAGAGAAGGAAACACTTGTCACCCTGGCTGGATGACTACATTGTGTATGTATAACCAAACTATCACAATGCACCTAAAAAGATGTAAGTTTTGAATGACTATTAAATGTGCTTCAAGGATGAAAAAAGTTCATCTTCTTAAAGGTTAAGGTGGTTCTCAGTGTGTATTCTAAATCAGAAGGACAAAGGCATTTATGATATTTTTCAGTCTAGTTTTACAATTCCGGAGAATTGGAAATAGAAGTAATTGGAAAAGTTAAATTGTGTTTTGAAAGCTAACATATTTTTTTTTCCTACTGAAGATTTTAACTTACACCAGGAAATTATTATGGTATTAAGAAAAAAATTGAAATGAAACATTGTCCCTGTTGATTTTCATCTCTTTCTTGATTTTATCTTCCCATGCCTTTCATTTTTTATTAACCTGCAGAAAGATTTTCTAGTGGGTTAGACTTAAGATCTGCAAATATGATAGAGAGGTAGAGTTAATAAATGCAAATCCCATATGACCCAATGATGATAGATAAATGTCACTTTGTGTGAAGATATAAAATGTTCTTAGTAAGACCAATGCCGGCGAGTTTCTTTTCACAGGGTTGAATCCAATTTTGTACATTAATTTTCTATATAATAGTATATTGAAATGTGTTTGTGAACAAAACAGGGCTTAAAAGCATTTCTTGGCTCCACATAGAACTTTTTTTTAACCTTGAATCCTCTTATCTTTTTTGGAAACCCCATTTACTTATTCCATTACACAGATAGTTCTCTTGTGTGTTTTTTTTAAGCTGAGATTGAATTATGACCCTATAAAATATCCCAGTAAATGGCTATAAGAGAACAAAGCACAGAAAAGTTTCACAACTAAATGACATGATGGAGCAGACTGGCTTATAGCATATACCTCGATGCACTTTTGGGAAGAAATAAATTGCAGTACTCATAATATTTGAGTACCGCAAACCATGACGAGCCACTGGGGTGGAGAAGATGCCGTGGTCTATTATGCATGGATCAATACTCTTACACTGTGTCAGGAGGACGTACTTCACAGCAGGGGACTGGTGGGAAGGCAATTTTATAGTTTTTTTTGTGACTTTAGAGTAAATCAGATGCCAAATGTGCTGTTCTCCTAGAGAAATTCCCCTAATTCTCCTAACACAGCACTTGAGGCCTGGCTCTTTTAAACCAATGGACAGGAGAGTTTTCCTAGAACTGTTATGGCCTCTCAAGAAAAAGTCAGGTTTATTCTCAGGTCTCTGGAGGCAGCTTTCAGCCATGATGACAAGGTTCACTGGGAATAATTTTCTGTTACGTCTATTTAGAAAAACCAACTGGTGCTGGGTGTTGGTGGCACACACCTTTAAACCCAGCACTCGGGAAGCAGAGGCAGGCAGATCTCTGTGAGTTCGAGGCCAGCCTGGTCTCCAGAGCAAGTGCCAGGATAGGCTCCAAAGCTACACAGAGAAACCCTGTCTTGAAAAACCAAAAACCAACCAAACAAAAAACCCCACAACTGGCTATAATGGTTTACTATAAGTAGAAACTGTCTTCTTTGAAAACCCAGTGGATTTTCTCAGATTGAACTATTTCTCCAAGCCCTATCTGCACAGCTTCCTTACCAGTTTGCTTGGTAGTAGGGGTCCCTATGGCAGGCTTAAATGCAGCATCTGCCTGCCTTTTCTACCAGAGTCTTACTCACAGGAATCTTCAGTTTCTTACAATACTTAGAATGACTTGCCTTGCACAAGGGGTACATATTCTGGATAGCATGCCACACTACTTTGCACAAATCACTGTTAACTTTAGAAATAGTCCAAGTAACCAAACAAAAGATACTCAATAAATATGTAAAGATTGAAATAGAAAAAAATAACGTAGGAAACTTGAAAGAATTGTTGAAGCCAACGGAGGAAGTATATCCTATTATCCTGATTTTGTCATCATGAATCAGCTCCATATGGATGTGGCATGAAAACCTGAGACAGAATTTAAACCCATTACTTACCCAGAAAATAACATTTTTACCAAAAGACCTTTGAATCGGCGAAAGTCTGTGCAGTACATTGTTGTGGATCTCTATACACAGGCTGCCAGTAGATTTGATCAGGGCTGTAAGTGCCAGCAACCAAAACCATGGTCTCACTGTGGATCCTCGTTTAGTAAATGTGATAAATATTTCTCATATAACCTTCTGATGTTCCCAACACTCTTACCGGCTTGTTTGTTTAACTTACTTTCATTTTTGGTTTATTCAGATATTTGAAGAACCACAGTAATTAAGCCATTAAAACAGCTCACCAAGTCGTTCCAAGCTGCTTGTAGTGAGATAGTATGGTGAGTCCTCTGTCATTCCCTCAGGCAATCCATCAAATAATTAGCTTAGCCTGTCAAGGTGCAAAGCCTGAAATAATTAGGACTGAGGTCAGCTTTGATTGGAAGGACATGTTTAAGGCCGCTCTTCATTTCCTCAGAGAATGGAGCAAGAGGTTGAGATTGTGGCCTCAGCACTGAGATATGAAGGAGAACATTTTAGATCCACAGGTATGGCTAAGACAGTAGGGGAATTTCTTCCTTGAGGCTTAGAGAAGAGTGGAGGGTGATGGTTATCCTGCACTACTGTGATGCTCTAATTCTCCAGGTTACTGTTTTTGGCACACCCAGTTGGCTTCTTCCATGTGCTCTGTTTTACTTGGAAGGATGTACAAGTTTTGCCAGAAATAATGGCACATGCCATGCCAGTAGTCCCTGCATGAGAAACACTAATGGGTGAGGATTATGTATTTTAGGGCAGCCTTGGTCACCTAAAGATAAGTAAGTATAAAAGAAACAATACCAGACAACACAGTCAGAATTTTGTAAAAACAGCAGTGATTGATCACTTATGTTGTTAGTACTCTGTTAACAAAAAAATTGTAAAAGAAAACAGTTTGTGAGGATACTGAGAAAAGGGAAACTTTGTATACCACAGGTCAAATGTAAATTAGTATAGCCACCTTAGGAAAAAAAAAGCCATGGAATTTAGTCAGAGAATTAAAAGTCTAATTTCTCTATGACCTAGCCACCCCACTTCTGGCTACATGTATAGGTACAGATCCAAGGAAAAGGAAATACATTCGCTGAAGATCTATTTGCGTTACCATGTTTGTTGTAATGTTGCTTATAGTTTGCAAAAATAGGAAATTGCCCTAAATGTCTAAAGATTGAAAACTAGACGAAAATGTTATATGTATGCATATATGTGGCATGTACACATTGTTATATATACTTAAATCTCAAATGGGATACCATTCCACAATGATAATGAAATCTTGTCATTTTGACAACATAAATGGATAAGTCTCTAGAAAATTATGCTAAATCAAATAAGCCAGGCACAGAATACTAATACTATATATTCAATATGAGGAATCTAAAACATTTAACATGATAAAAATAGAGTTGAATGGTGTTGCCAAGTACCAGGGTGTGTGAAGTGCTGGGGGGACTTTGATCAAAAGGTACCCAATTCCTGTTAGGAAAGATAGGCTCTATGTATTAATTCTGAAATATAGTGGATGGTCTTTCATTTCTGTTGCTATGGTAAACTGGATCTGGGAGGAGTTGGGAGAGGGAAAATCTTGAGCACAATATATTATATAAGTTTTTTTTTCAATAAAGAAGGCAAAAAAATCTTAGGGAGGAGGTTTATTCCATTATATAATTCCAGGTTACAGTTTGTTATTGTGTGACAGTCAAGGCAGAAATCACAAACAGCCAGTCACATCTTTCCACAGTCAGGAGTGGAAAGGAACAAATGCGTACACACCCACTTGATTGCTGTGTTCAGCTCGGTTTCTCTACTATTATGTAGTTGAAACTCTCGCCTAGGGAATGGTCCCTCTCACAGTGGTGGGTTTTCCTACATCAATAAACTTAAGATAACACACCACACACATGTCTACCACAACCTGTACAACTTGGTTCTTGAATCCTAACTAGGGGCAGTGAGGGAGTAAAGAAAAGACAGTGACACTAAAGAAATGACAGCCACATGGACACAAAAGAGCTTGGATCACAGGTGGGCTGTGTGCACTCTGATGGAGCCACACCTACTGTCTTTCAGCCTAGAACCTCAGGCTCTTTGTTGTTCACAGCATAGGGGAAGAGATTAGCTAGTCCTGGCGGGAGTTCTCTGTAGACCACCTTCTCGAGCTGTGTGCATTCTTCACATCGATAGAAACTTAACTAAGACACTGTTCCTATCTCCAAATCTTCAGATGCTCATATATAACCTGGAGAAACTGAGGAGATCAGGATAATAAGAAGGGAGCATGGGAAATGGGGAGTAATAGAGAGGGGAATAGCGGGGGGAATAGCTACAAGTTATCTAAAAGAGCAAAACATGGCTGAGGTTTAATTAGAGAGGGAGGAGGGAGGTAAAGGAAGAAGGAAGAAGGGTGAAACTATTAGCTATCTAAATTCTCTCTCTCTCTCTGTATACATATATAGTTTAAATCCAATTTCCCATCTTGGCTGACAGTACTATAAGGGCCATAGATTATATAACAAAAGTCCCAATGATTTTTGGGTTTTTGATCAGAATTATGCAAGAGTTTCCCCAAACATAGGCTATTGCTGTTGCCCTTGGTTGCCCCCTAGACAGTGAGGGTAAGTCCCTATTGCTGAAGGACACCATGTGCTTCAGACTTAGGACCTGGAAGATCTCGGCCTTCTTCTGACATGAAATTGTCTTCCTTGAGGACTAACTCTCATGGTACCACGAGGTAGCATGCAAGCTTCCAAGGGAGGTGAACTAAAACAATGCCCAGTGTGGTACCATAGTGTCATGCATACTTTGGTAGTAAGCAGAAGCTCTCTCATTGGGTTTAAGGCCTCCTCCACAAGAGTGATACCAAAGCTGCCTGGTACTAGAACCCTTGGCAGCTTCCCAGAGCTAGTGAAGCCATGACTCTGAGGAGAACCCACAACTGCCACTTTACTAAAGCAGTATAGTTCCTAGTTTAGTGTTTTTAAAATCATGTGGGTTTGTTCACAGACATACAAGGGGGCCCTCACCTCTGTAATTTATATTGGTTTTTAGGGATGGGAATTAAAGTTTTCAGATGAGGCTCATTCAGCTGGTCCGAAACACTGCTGTGAGACAGGATATTGTCACTTGGTTTGTGTTAGTTCTAACGAACTCACATTGCAAATGGCAGAAGTGGTGCTGTGGATCAGAGGCAGTGATTGTACTGACTTTGGGACTTCAGGAAAGTTGTTTAATCATTTGGAGAATCAATTTTCTTATCTCTGAAATGGGAATGAAAGGAGATAGGAAGGATAAAAATCAGATAATGCAGGTAACAAAGCTGACTCAGGGCCCTGATACAGAGTAGGTTCTCTATACATACACAGTATCTACTGATGCTTTTCTCTTTGGATTTCATTGCATTTGAAGCTACTGGACACGGTCATCTGTCTTTGATTTCCTTTTCCTATAGTCTTCAGCTATAGTCACTGAATCATAACGTATGTCCCAGCCTTAAGACTGTTGGAGGACTTGCATATGCATTCCGTATTTGTCTTGTTGGTAGCCTGGGCACGAGAACAGCCTTATTCTGTCTTAGTTCTCTTCATTAACCTTTCTGTCAAATCTGCAATGATTGGTCCCACAGTCTGCTCATAGTTCCTACTCTCTTCTTGGTAAATTTTATATACCATCTTCTATAATAACGGTGTTTTTTGCACAGTATTGTATTGCTGAACTTACTCCATTGCTTTTAATTAGTTGCTTAATTTATTTATCGTTTTCCTTAGAATGTGTTTCTCATTTTATTTTTAAAATAGCACAGTCACACCTTAATTATTTTTATACACTGCATGGAATACATTGCATATCAAGGGATTGGCAGGGACAGAAAGAGCCTATAGAGTATTGTAACATTTTTGTTTGGGATTCTCTCGCAGTAACTCAAGGGCAGGGTAAGTCCCAGGTAGAGACTGCAATGAATTTATGTAAATGCATTTGTGTGCCTTTCCAGTGAGCTAGGTCACTGTCTTCAAAGAATTCTGTAGATGAATGTGGTTTTGAACATCATAACCAAAGCATACATAATAGCTGACAGAAAATCATTGAGACATCAAACTTAAAATTTATTAATCAGCCCATACAAAGACTCTCTAAAAGAGCAATGTGTGGAGTTATTTTTGAGATGCTTATTGTAAATTCGTAATGACTCACACACTTCTATATTGATTTTTTTCAACAGGTGACATATCCCTGACCCGTAGATAAGATGAGGCTACAGAGATTTCAGAAATTTTGATGACATTTTCAGTGTTGAAATGGAATGCATAATGTTAACAGACTCCCTGAACTCCCAAATCTCCGGACTTAAAAGATGATGTAAATTCGGGAAACATATGCTTAGAAATGGCAGAGTAAGCACTTTCCACACTGCACGAGTTATGGTGGCTATAAAATGCCTGGACAGAAACAGCAGCAGAATGGCATTGCACATTTTAGTAGTGGTCTGTCAGATTCAAGGCCAATTAAAAGACATTATTTTAAAAAAGTTGATGAAATTGCCCAGAATTCTTGACTTGAAAGGGAGTAAGTAAAAGAATTGCCTCAGGAAGAAGTAATTCTCCTTTTATTATTTGTGAACTTGGTAAGCTTCATATTTCTATAAGTACCTATGTAACTGATAAAAACCCTGATGATCTTTTAAGAAATACATTGGAATTTCAGATTACTATTTCTTCATAGGTGTGTAGAGGAAAACAACCGTACGTGGAATATGGATATAGATGGGTAATTTATTAAGGGGAAATCACTTACATGAGGAACTGATGACCCAGGTTAGTCTCAGTAGCTCTCCAAGACCTGACTGGAACCCAGTGAGAGAGTGAAGTGCCCCTTTCCTCCAATCTTTATCACATAGGCCCCTTAGGCACCTGTGGCCACGCCCAAGTAGGCATGGTCAGTGCCACAGGAGTGTAGAGGTCTCTCCCTACATAGGTATTTCTTTAGAAAGACTATGTACCAGCAAACTATAAACAATATTGTTTTCGTACTGATTTTTCTCTTATGAAGTTATGATTTAGTCTATATTCTTGCTTGCTTGACGTTTTGCATTTGTTTTTGAAGAGCTACAAAGGAAGGCCTATGCTGATTCTTCTTTAAATATGGAATTTGAAATAAGTCTTAGGGGAAAAAGTTCTCCAGTGAGATGAAGTGAAAGCTCTTCACAGGGAGGCCATAAATTGAGACACAAACATATCAATTAATGAGTATATTAGTCTTTTTAGCACTTGCATACATTTTGAAGTAATTTCCTTCCTTGTTCAGCACTTAAACTCTTCAAGAAAAAAAAATCTGTTTTGAAGTGTTTGAAAGAAACTGTTTCTTTTGCTTGAATTATGCAGAGGAAATTCCATACTGTGTGTCATGAATGCCCACCAGTGTTAGACACTAAGGTACAGTTTATTGCATCAAGAAACTATACATTTCTGTCTGTCTACTGCTGAACACCAGAGTGACATAGTAGTTCTAAGGAATCAACACTTTTCTTTTTATTCTATAAAATGTTTTTAAATTTAGCCCAGACTAGAAATAGATACAAATCCCAAAAGCTGGTGCAATTACTGACACTTTGTAACTACAGTTGTAGCAACATTTAGTGCTTAGAGTTAAAAACAAGGGTCATTTTCTTGAAGAATGTGTTGCAGTGGCGGGTCTTATGGGTGCATGTACATTAGTACATTCTTTTCATCCTTTTTTTTTTTTTTTTTTAACAGCCTTTGCACTTTCTAGATCACTGCCTGTGACCTTAGCAAACTACTTTGGAAATGACATTTCCACCTTTTGCCCTGCCCAAATTGATGGTATTGCATTTTAAATTAGGGATCACAGCACCTCTTGCCAGAGAAGTGGTGCCCGGTATGAATGCTTAAGGAGAAAGAATTTTCCTTCGGAATGAATGGTTTTCATATGGTAATCAGTCCAGTTCTAAACAATCAAAAAGCAGTGGTTATACTTGTAATTACCTGATTTCATGAATATTTATGCCGAGCCATTATACTCATTTACTACTTTGTTCTTTAGGTAATATAGAATAACATTTACCATGTCCCTCTGGTAAAAGAAATACTTTGTTAATCAAGGACAACTTGATATTCAGGATAGAAAGTCATCCAGCAATATCCCCTTCCTGTTTTTCAAGCTTCCTGTAATTCTTTCTTCAAAATGAAGATTGCATGGACTTGCTGTGCAATCAGCACCCAGCCTTGCTTCCCTTTCTTTTCCCTTGAAAAAAAAATACTCCTCATTACAATCTCATAGAAGTCCGACATCTTTTAACCTAATTCTCCCCCTTTCTTCTAGCGAGCGACAGATGGAAAATGCAATTAAACAAGAGTGAGGCGCTGGGTAACCAATCATCTCCCTGCGCTCCCCTTTCATCTCTTCCTAAGATGTCCCTTTAAGCTTCCTGGGGGAGATACTGAACATTATGAACACAAATTAAAGGTGGTTTTCTTCTAATCTCTTTCTCAAGACAAAAAAAAAAGAAAAATATGTTTGAAGTTGTAGAAGCAAAAGACTCAAACATTAAGCTCATGAATGACAGATGTTGATAAAGTATGCCTTAGTCATGTAACTTTAATTCAGTTTCAAAGTAAAGACAAATGGGTTCATAACATTGGCAGTCTAAAAATTATTGTGAATGGCAAAAGATCAAGTAAAAGATTTATCACAAGTAAATGTCAGATATTATATGCATATGTGTCCCACAGTACTTAGGTACACATAACAAATATTCAATTTTTTTTTTGCATGTGAATGTGATGCTTTTCCTTCTAGACCAGTCATTTGTAGGCATTTTATATTTTTGGTTGTGAGCCTAGCCTTTAATGGCTGAGCCATGCTTCCAACCTAGTTTTTAGGCATTTTAAGCTAACAAAATTTTAACAATGTTGTAAACTGTTTCTAAACTCATTTTGTAGTAGTGGTACTGCCATAGTTAGTTTTTTATTAAATTTTTTTTAGTTTTTTCATTTTACATATCAACCCCAGGTCCCCCCCTCTCCCCTTTTTCTGCTCCCCCTACTTCCCCATTCCATCCCCCATCCCATCCCCCATCCACTCCACTCCTCAGAGTGTAAGGAAGGTAAGGGAGGGTAAGGCCTCCCTTGGGGAGTTAACAAAGTCTGCCATAACAAGTTGAGGCAGGAACAAGCCTTCCCCCCTGTATCAAAGCCGAGCAAGATATCCCGCCAAAGTGAGTGGGTTCCAAAAAGCCAGTTCATGCACCCGGGATGTATTTACACGTCAACTTGACACAGCCTAGAGTCAACTACAAGGAAAGCCACAAATGAAGAATTGCCTAGGGCTGGAGAAATAGCTCAGCAGTTAAGAGCACTGGCTGCTCTTCCAGTGGTCCTGAGTTCAATTCCCAGCAACCACATGGTGGCTCACACCCATCTGCAGTGTGATCTGGTGCCCTCTTCTGGCCTGCAGATATACATACAGATGGAACACTGTCTACATAATAAATAAATAATTAAAAAAAAAGAATTGCCTAGATCAGATTGGCTTGTGGATGCTTTTTTTTTCTATTTTGCTTGTGGATGCTTTTTTTAATGGGGATTATCTTGATTATTAATTGATGTGGGAGGGCCCATTTCATAGCAGGTGACACCATCCCCAGTAAGGTGCTCCTGGACAAGGTAAGCATGTGACTGTGAGCTAGTCAGCAAGCGGCCTTCCTCCATGAACCTTTCATGATCTTGCTTGAGTTCTTACCCTGACTTCCTTCAATGAAGGGCTGTGACCTGGAAGCTCAAGTCCAAGTAAACCCTCCCTCCCCTAGATTTCTTTTTGTCAGAGTATTTTATCATAACAGCAGAAGTCAAACTAGAACAGACATTTTTAATATCCATGAGCTAAAGGACAGCATGCAAATATGAAAAATTATGTCATTTATATGATGTCAACTAAATAGCCAGTCTATATAACATTTGGATAGTCTCAATCTCCATAATGGTTAGCTCAATTTTAGTATTATAGTCATTTTTTTAAATATGGTCATAATGAGGTATAGACGGATTTGTCATTTTCTCCAAGCCATACAAAAAGGACTGGAGTTGGAATCCAAACCCCAGTTATTTAAAATTTACCTCCACATCACACTATACCATAATGATTTTAGTAGTGCTTTTAAAAATGAATTTGTTTTATTCATTATACCATATATGTTTTTAAATTTTAAATTTATTTATTTGTGTGTGTGTATGTTGGTGTATAATGTGAGAATTACCAATATGGAGTCAGGTAAAAATATAAGGGTATTTATTAGGGAGAAGCCTTACTTACAGAGTGACCTAGCCAGCCGGCAAGGCAGGAGTAACTACAGCAAGCCGAAGATGAAAAGGAAGAAGGGAGAAGGTCCATGTGTGCACCCCTCACTCTTAAACCTTCCCTGGTCACCCTGACCTCGAAGGCATGGTCCGGCATCCCTGTAACCAGCCCCTAGCAGGTGTGGTTATGGTGTCCCCTACAGTAACTCCAGGTAAACCTTTGTATGAATATGTTTGTATACATACATATTTATAAAGTTTATTATACAATTTGTTCTGCCCAATTTGACCTCCTAGGGACCACACACGTAAATAAAACCTATTCTCCCTCTCCTAGCAGCTACAGATTGCCAATAGCTCCACTGCTAGCAATGGGGCTTTATGGGACTTCCCTGCCACACAGGGATTTTCTCTGGCTTGTATTTGTGTGGGACTTATGCATGCTGTCACAGCCCTAGTCAGCTCATATGTATGACTTCCCTGCTGTGTCCTGAAAACACGACATCCTTGTCATACTCCAGTGCCTCTGGATCTTACTATACCCCCACCCCTCTTCCACAGTGATCCCTGAGCCCTGCAGGAGGGGTACACAGTTATTTTCCCATTGCAGTTATAAAACACCATGCCCAAGGCAACTTCTAGAATGAAAGGTTTATTTGGGGTCTACTGTCCCCGAGGGGTTAGAGTCCACTCAACAACTGCTGGGGAATTTGGGCATCAAGCACAGGGCATGCAGCAGGACTAGCTCAGAATTTACAACTTGAACAGCATGCAGGGAACACACACGCAAATGTGCACACACGCGTGCACAGATGCACACACAGACGCACACAGACACACACACACAAACACAAATATCCCTCCACATGCTCACGTGCACAGACACACACACACACACACACACACACAGACAGACACACACACACACAGACAGACACACACACAGACACACACAAACACACACACACACACACAGACACACACATACACACACAAACACACAACACACCCCACATACACACAAACACATAGAACTTGAAATGGTGCAAGACTTTAAACTCTTAGTGGCATACTTTTTCCAGAAAGGCCACACTTCCTAAGTCTCCCCCCCCCAAATAAGGCCACTAACTGAGGACCAAACATTAAAATGCCAGAGATGATGGGAGACATTTACTTTTCAAAATACTACAACAGGTAAGGCTGCTTTCAGCTCCGCCCATGCTGCCACAATATTATATGAAAATGAAATCACGATGCATCTGCCTTTCTCAGTTCAATTCCAATTCCTTCAATCTTTGTTGGTTCCTTATTTTGTGGCTCAACCCCAGTAGGACCTCAATGTAGTGATTCTGACTGTTCCCTTTTGTCTGAGAGACTCCTGCCCTGAAAGGGATTGCAAAGTCCGAGAGCAACGCACCCTTCAGAGGAAGGAATCCCCTTGTAGCACATCCCTTTTATCTGGTTTTCCTTGTTTGCTATCCTTATACTAAATCCTTCAAAGAAGAACTCTCAATCCAAAGTACCAGATAGCTTTTTGAAAATTAATTCAATAAATGATGTGTAGTGATGCTATGCAATAAACTTATATAAAAGCAAATTCTACCAGTACTCAGAAGCCAGAGGCAGGCAGATCTCTGTGAGTTTGAGGCCAGCCTGGTCTCCAGAGCAAGTTCCAGAACAGGTTCCAAAGCAATACAGAGAAACCCTGTCTCAAAAAACCAATCAACCAACCAACCAACCAACCAACCAACCAACCAAAAAAAAAAAAACCCAGAAAACAAATTCTAATTTTTCTTTTAGAAAGATGTAAAGTACATTCTCTATAGTATTTGTGACAAGGAGGAAGATAGCTAATGAATGACAGTGGCCTTGTCTAAAGCTTGATTTTAGATGCATGGAGTCAGACCATTTTCAGAAATACCTAAATTTTTGGGTCTTAAAATACTGTTGGCTTTAAAAATGACTTTGATTAGCATGCAGTTATTGTTTTCATGCTATACATGAAGTAAATTTCACCCAAATTAGGGTTTAACATAGTTCTTTGAAATCAAACCAGTAACAATGAAGTTCCTTTTGGTAATGTTTATTAGAAAGTACTTCCAAGAACCCCTAGAAATGTGTTTCTTGGATCCTTACCAGTTCAGCTCTACAGACAGAGGACAGCCAGACAGAAGGTCTCCAGTGGATTAACCTGTAAAATGCTCCTGGAAGTTAACAGTGACAGGGTGTTGGCCAAGAACATGGCTGGGGCCATAATGGGATTTTCGGGTACCATGAAGGCCTGAGGTACAGAATGAGTCACATCAAACTGACATGAGTGGCAAGATCAGGTCTGATTGCATTTTGTTCCTTATTTCTCATGAACTGAGAAGCGGGGATGGTTCTGAACCTGCAGTCAAGACAAGGTTGTCCCCTTTGCTATGTGCCCACAGGCTTCCTTTTTGCTTAAAGTAGGGGAAGATATAAGCAAAACTTTCTTCTATGCTCTGTCCTGGCCTTGTGCTATAAATCACATTCCACTTAGTTGCTTCTGTTTGTAGGAAGAATTATGGAAATTTGGGGTTGTTGTTAGATTTGGGATTTATTCACCTTGAAAGCTAATAGAATTTATATGCATAATTTTACCTGCGCTGTAGTTCTAGTTGAGGGGTTATAATAAGAAATTCATGGCAGGTCCTGGGAATTAATTGTTATACATATCTCCATCCAGGGACCTGTCTAAGGAATGATGTGGACAGAAGTTTCTGTCCTGCTTGGTCCTTTAGCCATTTAGTCCCAAATAAACACACAGAGGCTGATATTAATTATAAACTGTTTGGCGACAGCTCAGGCTTCTTATTGGCTACCTCTCTATCAATTATTATCCCATTTCTATTAATCTGTGCATCTCCATGCAGTCTTGGCTTACTGGTGATGCCTAGGCTCTTGCTTCTTTGGCAGATACATGGCATCTCTCCCACAACTCACTCTCTGCCTTCTTCTTCTCAGAATTCTTCTACTCTGATAGCCCTGCCTATACTTCCTGCCTGGCTACATCCTGCCTGTCCATTGGCCGAAACAGCTTTATTCATCAACCAATAAGAGAAACATATATTCACAGCATTCAGAAGGGCACCCCCATCCCATGATGGTTGTTATAGAGCCTTGTGTACTAGAGACTTGAGAAATAGGAAGAAAGGAGAGATCTTTGTGTCTACAGGGGAGTGCACACTTCTCTAGTGGCAACCTGTTAACTGGATCCTGGCACTGTTACTGAGTCTTTGTTCTTGGACAATTATGTTTCAATTGTGCATTTATGAAAAGGACAGACATGTTACTGTCCACTTCATATATGAGTAAAACCTGTAACTAGGAGAATAAAGCCATGCTCAGGTGTGAAGTAATGCGAATTAACTCTTTGCTGACATTCTAATGTTGCAGTAGATTTGGGAAGAACACAGGAAAAGACAGACAGAGACAGAGAGACAGAGAGAATGAATTTGAGCAACATGGCTCAAAATTTATCATGAATTAATTGGTTAAAAGTGAAATATGTGCTAGTTTTAGTTTCTATGTCATTAAAGACAACTTTGTTTCAGGGACTCTGAAACATATGATCCATAAATATTTTGTAGTTTAGAAAGTTTTCTTTTCCTTATTCTTTTAGCTCATGATTTTTTTTATTGAAACCATTCCATATTCATACATTCTCCAGAACTATTTCTTCTGTTCTGTAAGGCCCCACATGCATAAGGAGTAATTGTGAGGAGCTGACAGTGAGGAAGGGTGTCTGTCCCTCACAGAGCATGAGGGCCATCTGTCTCTTTGAGTCTTAATTCCTTTCTCCACAGTGATTGTTATTGTCTGGAACTATTGCTTTAAACAGATAAGAACTAGTTATATGTGGTGTTTGCACCCACACAATATGTTTTAGTGGTAAAAAGAAGCCCATGTTGCTGGACACTCCACACCACAACCCATCAGCCTCAGCTATGGTTCTTAGGCATCTACACAGCCATTGTCAACAAACTGCAAAATAGCTCTTACTGAAGCCATTTGATTTGTACTCTGCTAGAGCTCATTAGTCCTGGATTCCAGCACTTCATTCTCTGTAAGGTTCCAAGAGACAACTTATTCTTTTCTCTGACTTCTTAGTTTGAGGGAAGAGAAACATCTTTAAGGACGCTTACCTTTTCTTGTTGTAACAGTGAAACAACCCAATTATTTTTAGAATATATTTCTTGTTTTTCTTTACTGTTATAACTTGCTTTAGGGAAGAAATTAAAAAAAAAACATTTTACACATGTGTGTGTGTGTGTGTGTGTGTGTGCGCACGCGCATGTGTGTGTATGTGTGTATACACACCTCTTATGGTCAGGTGCCTGCAGAGGCCACAAGAGGGTGTTAAATTTCTTTGGAACTGGAGCTACAGTTGTGTGCTGGACCTGGACTCTTAAGTATTGAGCCATCTCTCTAGCTTCTTAGGGAAATATTTTAATATCCTCTGGGTTAGAAAACTGCTTTTACATTCTATATGTCCCTTATTCTGTGATCAATATTTATAGTTCACCCTTTAGACCAGGGGTTGGGCAAACAACATTTTGTGGGTAAATCTGACCCATTCCTTTGTTTTGTAAGGTTTTACTGGAACATAGCCATATTCATTCATTTGTGCTTATTAATTGTTAATGGCTCTTTTTGAGCTATAGTGATGAGTTATAGATTGTACTCATGTTGTAGAATCTCTTAAAATATTCAGTAGTCGGCACATAACACAGTTTGCTGCCTCTATTCAAGACCTCCAGGTTGTGATATCATCTTTCAGTATAAGATACTTTGAAGATGATAACAAATATATTCATATCTTAAGTGCTTTAATCTTGCAAATTTAAAAAACAACTTGTTTTTAGCCTAGTATACTATTGCATGATTTAAAGACTCTTTTGTTGCGTTCTTTGTCTTAGACCATTTAGGTTTCCCTTTAAGGCAAATGGATTTGCCACAAATTTAATGGATGTACAACAATAGACTGTGAAGAATACTTGTTTTTCATTGTAAGATCAAAGAATTGAATCTTAAAGTAGTGTTTTATCCTTACTTATTTTGTCACAGTTATCAACCATTCATAAAAAATTCAGTACTAAGCTGCCTAGAGTACAAATAAAAATATTGAATATATTTTTCCTTGTATTAAGGGATAAGGAATAGTAGAACCCAGGGACTATGAAAATAGACAAGGGTCAGAGGTGTCAGATAAGTTCCTGTTGCTGAGGGCACCAAATACTTCAGAAACAGGGCCTAAAGGTCCCTGAACTGGAAGTGACCTGAATGCTCCCTCCATGAGCACTGGCTTTCATTGTACCACAAGGTGCTATACAAGCTTCCAAAGAAGGAAAGCAACCAACAGTCCAACCCAGCTACAATGCCTATGAACCACATTAATGACTGGCATGGTACAATAATCCTATTGGTGCAGTAGTGACATGTATACCTTGGTGACAAACAACCACTTGCTAATTGGACTTAAGACCCACTCAGCAAGACGGATACATTTGCTTAGTATCAGAATTGGTAAATCTAGCTAACTACTAAGTGCTACTGAGATGATGGCTTACGAAGGATAATCTACAACCACTAATTACTAAACCAGCATAATCCCTAACAAAAATCTATAAATGACTGCCCTTATACCCATAGATAAATGTACTCTTCACCCCTCATCAAGGAAACCTTTCTTTGCAACAGAGATCATTATAGAAAACCACAACCAATCAATATGCAGAGTTGTAGAACCCAATCTCAATGGATACATCTTTGCTGTGAATTTGTGTCTCCTAGTAACATTGGAAGCTATACCTGTAAAGTCTCGCCATCATGACTGCCTAAATGAAAACAAGGAGAACACCAAAGAATATGTCAAACTGCATAGGCAAAAGCCTACAAGGCCCCAGTGCTACACAAAGAACTACAGGCAACTGAATAAAGCTGAGGACTGGGAGAGGTGGTTCTCTCCAGAATAAAGCACACCAATTGTTGGTCCAGTGCCAAATGGTCAGCCCTGAAAACATACATACAAACTCTAGATGGAAGTTTCTGTTTGCCTGGTCACACAGTCAATTAGCCCCAAATAAACACACAAATACTTATATTAATTTATAAACTGTTGGCTGATGGCTAGGGCTTATTACTAGATAGCTCTCTCTTAATTATTAACCTATAACTACTAATCTATGAATTTCTACATGGCCTTATCTTACCAGAGAACGTCTGGCATGTCCTACATGGTATCTCTCCTGTGGATTCCCTCTCTCTCCTTGGTCCTTCCTCTTGCAGCCCCATGTCTCGATAAATCTTTCTGCCAAAAGCTATCTGAGCCCCACCGCCACATGTGTGTTTTACGCCAGCCACCTGCCCGAGTTAGGCCCAAATGAATACACAGAAACTTGTATTAGGTTTAATGTTGCTTGGCCAATGACTAGGATTCCTCATCTGTTAGCTCAGTCTTAATTATCATAAATCTATATTTTTTATAAGACTTATCTTATCGGATGCCTTGTTGGCATCCTTCCTGGCTGGTGGATCACATCGTGCTGCTGGAGCAGGAGCAGAGGGGAAAAGAGGGCCCTTCCTGTTTCTCCTTAGCTCAAATATGAGTCTCCTTGCTATGTCACTTCCTGCCTGGATAATCACTTCTCTACTACATTTCCCAGAATCCTCTTTGACTCATAGTCCCGTCTACTTGCTGTCTCATTGGCCAAACAATATTTTAGCCTGGCTACTAGCCAACCAATGTTTTATTCATCAACCAATAAGAGAAACACACACACACACACACACACACACACACACACACACACACACACACACACACACATATATATGTCCCCAATCAACAAACAGCATTTTAAGGACTCAACAGGTCACATTTGGGAGTATGTATGCATATAGAAACATCACTACGCATGCACTAACAATTGATAAAAAATGGGGCCCCAAATTTTGAGGAGAGTGGGTAGGAGTATATAGAAGTATTTGGAGGAAAGGGAAGGGGGAAATGTATTAGAAATACAATTTCCAAAACAAACAAACAAACAAACAAGAAATAGAGGGGAATATTGGGTGTGGAAAGGTTTAAACAGGAAGGAGGTAGAGGAATAGGAGAGACCAGTGGGAAGGAAAGGAGGTTATTAGCAACAACAAAGTAAAAAAAATTCCTAATGAATATGGGCAGGATTTAAATATATATATTAATTGTATAAGTTGTTTGGTGTTCTTCCAGTTTTCATGGAGATAACTGAGGTCTTCTGTATTGGCACACATTCAAGCAATGTATTGGCACATATTCAAGGTATGAAACTATATACTCTAAAGCTAATAATGTTATTAATGTTTTATAAAATTACAAGTCATTTGAAAAGATAGTACAGCCTAATGCTATGCTTGATGAACATTGATAGAAAAATCCTTAAAGAGTTCTACAAAGTTGAATTCGGCAGCACATTAAAATACTGCACACTGTGCTCACATGGGACTTAATACAAGGGTGGTTCAGCCTATGTTAATCCATGTGATACACCACATTAACCGAATGAAGGATAAAAACCAGTCATTTCAATAGATGCAGAAAAACATTTGACAAAATTCAACATCCTTTCATGTGTAAGAAAAATCCATTTAACTATGTATAGATGGAATTTGCAAGTAGGTTATAAATATCATGTGTGAAAAGTCCACAGTTAAAACACATATTTAATGTGGCAAAACGGAAAGCAATTCTTACAATCAGCAATGGGGTGTGAATGTTTACTTTCCCATTTATTCCAGAGAGTACTAGAGTTCCCAGCTGGAACACAAAGAAACAGTATCCAGGTAGAAAAAGAAGTCTTGAAAGAAAATGTAGACACTATGAATTCATATGTGGGAAATCCTAATGACTCCATTTCCCCACTTTCTGGTACAAATTCAGCAAACACATAAGTCACTTGATTTTTCTACACACTAGTAGTAAACTCCCAGAAAATGAATTTAAGTAAACATTCCCATTTCCAATAGCATCAAAAATAGCAACAAAATCTCCATACTGATTTCCATAGTAGCAATGGTAGTTTACATTCCCACCCTTGGTGTATAACTGTTCCTTTTGTCCACTGTTTGCCCACATTTGTTTTCTTTCTTTTTAAAAAATTATTTTTTATTTTTAAAACCATCTTATTTTACACACCGATCCCAGTTCCCTCTCCCTCCTGGCCTCCGGCTACCCCAACTTCTCCTCTCCCAACCCCTCATCCACTAGTCAGAGACGGTGAGGCCTCCCATGTTTTCTTGATGATTTCTATTCTGACTGGGGTGAGATAGAGTCTCAGTGTGGTTTGTATTTTCATTTCTCCAATGGCGTGAGAAGTTGAACTTAATTTTTTAATGTGCTCATTGGCCATCTATGTTCTATCTTTTGAGAACCTTCTGTTTATTTCATTAGTCTGCTTGTTGCCTGAGTTGGTTGGTTTCTTGCTGTTGACATTTTTGACTTCTTTGTATATTCTGGATATTAATCCTCTGCCAAATTTATAGCTGGCAAGACATTCTCCACTCTTTAGTTAGGCTGTCTCTTCAAGGAAGATCTTTTAAAAATAAAAATAGGATAACTCAATTATAAACTTTCATATATGTATATGCGTGTGTTTTAGGTAGACTCTACAGTTGTGGGTTTCCCTATGGCAGTTTACAATGTCTTTAGGGCTAATCATCCCTCTTCAAATTCCCTCTACCCAACCTCACATTTCTCATGTTTATCTTTTCATATTCCATTATTCCTCCTTTCCTCTTCATCCTACTTGTTTTTTATGTTATTTTTTATTAGAAACAATCTTATTTTACTTATGAATCCCAGTTCCTTCTCCTTCCCATACTCCCATGCCCACAGCCCACCCCTCAACCCATTCCCTTTCTTACTACTTGTGTTTTATTCTCCTCCCCTTGAAACACACTCCCACGGCACCTGACTAGTTTCCTGTTTCTATAGGCACTCCAGTTTAAACACACATATGTAAAGATTTTAGTATAACACTCATATCAGAGAGAGAACATGTGGTGCTTTTCTTTCTGGGTGTAGGTTATATCCCTCTAAATGATTATTTCCAGCTCACCCATTTACATGGAAATGTCATTATTTTAGTCTTATTAGCAGTTGAATAATATTCCGTTGTGCATGTGAAATGGCTATTGTCATTTCTTGGCTCTCGAAAACAGAGCAGTGACAAAAACATATGGGTAAGTAGCCCTGGAGTAGGATATTGACTCCTTTGGCAATATGCCCAGAAGTGGTATAGCTGTGAATACTTCTACTTTTTCAGGAACCTCCACACTGATTTCCATGGTGACGACACCACCCGAACTTGCACCAACAGTAAGTTTTCCCTACCTCCATGCCATCATTAGCTGTTGTTTAAATTTTTTCTTTCAGTTTTTGATATTATAGCAAAAATAGATATTTCTCCTTTCCCTATCTTCCTCCCAACCCTCCTGGCTCCTTTTCAAACTAATGGTCTTGTTTTTCATGAATTGTTACATGAAAAACCAGATATAACCTGCTCTGTCTGTATAATGTTACTTATGTATATTTTCAGGGTGACCATTTGGTATTGAATAACCAGTTAGTGTGATTTTCCCAGGGAAGGAATATTTCTCTCACTCTCACCAAGCTTAAAACACCCTAGAAGCTTCATCTCTACTGGCTAGCTTTTATAGTACTGGAAGATGTTATGCACATTACAAGGAGAGAAAAATAGTCATTAGTTTCATCCAACTATTAATCTAGTGACTTACAATATTGACAGGCCTGGCAAGATATGCTCACTAGAGTAATAGTTTCACTAATATTATGTTAGTAACCATCCAACCAACCAACCAACCAACCGACCAACCACCTTTTCATTGGGTTTTAAAACATGCTCCACAAGACAGAACTCATGCCTGGTTTTATTAATTGGGACAAAAACCCATGTCTGGCAAGGCCATAGGCCCTAGTGGAGACTCTAGTACTGTTACTATTCTGCTAAATGGACATAGTAATAAATTGCATCGTAAGTTCTTATCTTTATACCTGTATATCAATGCATCTCTCAGCTCTTATCATAAAGTCTTTTTGTAGTATATGGTGACTAAAATAGAGACCCACAATTGGGCAACATACAGAGAATAAGAGGCTGTAGAGTATTCAGCTTTACATGGACCGTCTATACACACCTCCCTCAAGGCTCAGGGATTATCATGGAAGAGGGTGCAGTAAGATTGTAAGAGCCAGAGGGAGTAGATGATTTCAGTAAAATAGTATTTGTTGGACATGGCAATAGAACGGCACAGTTGAAGTCATAGCAGCAGACACTGCTTAAGACATGTACAAGATCAAGCCAGCAGAAATCTCCGCATGGGTGGTGGTGAGGGCAATAAAATCCCATCCCTATATAAAGGGCTATTAAGTACTGGCAGCTACTTGAGTGATAATGACTTTTCTTCAAGGATGTGGGCCATGAGCGGCTCCTCACCCTTCAGTAGATGGTTCCAGTATCATTTTACTAAATGAATCCAATGTGCTGAAGTGAAAAAGCACATGAAGTTGGGAGGGAAAGTAGGGGTGGGGAAGGAGCTGGAGGGGAGGGAATGGGGTGTGAGATTTGAAAAAAATGCATTATACACATGTTTAGAATTCCAACAATAAAAATATGATGTAATCTAGGTATATTAGTCTTGGGTACATGTCCAAAGAAATTAATTTAAATCAGGATCTTATAGTCCAGCATTCTTTTTTTTTGACTGCTTTTTAAAAATAAATTTTATTTAAATTAGAAACTATCTTATTTTACATATCAATCCCAGTTCCCTCTCCCTCCCATCCTCCCGTGCCCCCCCACCAGCCCACTATCCCATCCCTTTTCTGCTCCCCAGGGAGGGTGAGACCTTCCATGAGGGATCATCAAAAATTTGTTAAGTCATCTGGGGCAGGGCGTAGGCCCTTCCCTGTGTATCTAGGCTAAGGGAGTAACCCTTCATGACATGGGCTCCTGAAGTCTTTTTGTGCACTAGGGATACATCCTGGTTCCACTGCCAGAGGCCCATAGACTGCCCAGTGCTCCTAGCTGACACCCACATTCAGGGGTCCTGGTTTGGTCCTATGCTGGTTTACCAGCTGTCAGACTGGGGTCCATGAGTGCCCCCGTGTTCAGGTCAGCTGTTTCTGTGCATTTTCCCAGCCTGATCTTGACCCCTTTGCCCATCCCTCCTCCATGTCTGAAACTGAATTCCAGGAGCTCGGCTCAGTGCTTACCTGTGGGTGTCTGCTTCTGCTTCCATCAGCTACTGGGTGAAGGCTCTAGGATGGCATTTAAGGTAGTCATCATTCTCATTATAGGGGAAGGGCATTTAAGGAAGCCTCTCCACTATTGCTTACATTCTTAGTTGGGGTCATCCTTGTG